AGCCCAAGTGCAAAAGCCCAGATAAGGGCTGTGCATGGCCTGATGGGAAAACAACTCGGAAGCCAAACAACTCAAACTCGAGTTGACAAAAGGGGTTGCTAAATTAACATCTTATTTTTAGCAGGGCTTCCTGCTTTATTCTATACAAGTACACTAGTGTTCAGAGAAAGGGGGGCATGATTTGCATATCCCATGAGTAAAATTTACTGAAAAGCAACTTTTAGGACTTAAGTACTACTAAAAGCAGATGAGAAGATATTTAATGTGTGATGTTGAATTCCAGTCCTCCCTCCTGAGCCCACGGTAGAAATGACTAATCTCAGCCCATTTTAGTCCTTCTCAGCAATGCCATCTCTGCCCCCAAAGCTCAATAATCAAAATGGATAAAATATAATTTTTTTTTCAATTAGAAAATTCTTTAAGATTCTCTATAAAATTGAGATATTCAAGTTTTCCCACAGTTCTTAAATTAGGAAAACTTTAGCCTGATAATTTTTCATGGTCCTTCATTTGTAAGTATTACACACTCTCCTGAGTTTCATCAAACCTGAAAGTATAATTATTAAGAAGAACCTTTCCTCAATGACTCAGGTCATGGTCATACCCATAAATTGGGGGGGGGGGGGTGTAAAGTAAAAGACAATGAAGAGTCACTCTAGGCCTTTGCCTTTATATAGGACAAATGACAGGGTTATATTAGATGATCTTCAAGTCCCTTTGAATTGATTTAAAGTATTTAAGAATGCAACTTAAGTGAAATGTATAGATCTTTACAATGAAGCTACTCAAAATGACACTTCTGCTTAAGGTCATGTAGCTGGAATACCCATGCAGCTGAGTTAAATGAGGAGTACCAATCCGTTTTAAATGATTCTTTAAAAAAAAAAAAAATTGTGTGTGTGTGTGCACGCGTGTGTGTGCACACACGTGTGTGTGCACGCGTGTATTTTTAGTTGTATATGGACTCAATCCTTTATTTATTTTTATGTGGTGCTAGGATCGAACCCATGCCTCACACTTGCGAGGCAAGTGCTCTACCGCTGAGAGCCACAACCCCAGGCCCTTAAATGATTCTTGGACTAAGGCCAGTCTTCTTAACTAGGACTGATTTTTTTACCAGCACTTCTCCTTGAGTCAATTTCTCTTCTAGATCAACATAGCTAACACAAAACTCACCACATAACTACAAGTGGTTTTTGTTGCATTACAACTGTAAGGTTAGGGAAACCAAAAAGTAAGACTGCCAAAGAGAATTAAGTTAGAAAATCCACAATTTGAAGGGCTAGCTTAAAATTTATTATACAAAAAATGGAAAATTGAATTAGATTTGGTCAAAGGAATATCTAAATGAGTGAGGGTTCATTATATGCAAAGACATAGAAATCAGAAGACCCTTGTGTGTGGGCACTTCCTAGACACCTACACAACAGGACATATACTATGACCAAATTCTGCCAAAGTCTCTTTTTCTTGTCCAGTTGATCCTTCCTGCAAACAAACACACCTTACAAAGGAGGGAAAACCAAGTAGACAAGGAAAGGTGAAGAGGCACTAGGCATCTCTGGGTGTGAGGCACTCCACATGTCCTTACTTAAATTCTGAACAACCCTAAGGAGGTGGTGGTACTCAGTTTCACAGGAGAAATATCAGCTCACACAAACTGCACACAACACCCCTATCTGGAGGCAGAAGACCATCAGATGCAAGGAATGGAAAGTGATCCTGTTTGTGCCACTTCTCCTGCAATGCCTGTGACTACAGAACCCTACCGCCACCCTGCTCCACTATCCTCCTACGTGAACCTTTCCTCTTGTCCAAGTCCAAGCAATTGTGCACTGCTACAGGAGGCTCTGGATAACTCAGTTGACAAGTCATACACCAAAAGCTACTAATGACTCATTACGCTGGGATCAAGTTCAAATTCATTTCCTTGGCATTTAAGATTCCTCATGGTCTAACCCCACCCTAAAAATCTAGTCCAAACTCCACTTCACAATGCTAAGTCTCCTTCTAGATCATTCTTGCCCACTAAAACACACTAGATGAACACTCCAGTGAACTCACAACATTCAGGCCCCTTCCTCCCTTTCCTGCCCTCCCCCACATTTCATTGAGGTTTCCATCCCTGTGAATCAGGAAGGCAACCCCAAGTCCAGCTGCAGGGAGAGATGTACACCTGATTAGCCCAGGGACAGTTCTCAGGAGCAGGGGCAGGATGAGGTTTGGATATTAGGTATCCCTTAAAAGCTCACGTGTGGAACAATGCAAGAAGGTTTAGAGAAGTGATTGGTCATGACAGCCTTAAACCAATCAGTGAATTAATCCTGATGGGATTAACTGAGTGGCAGCTGAAGGTGGGGATGGTGTGACTAGAGGAGGTAGGTCGTTGGGAATGTGCCTTTTGAGTGTATATTTGGTATCTGGTGAGTGGAATCTCTCTCCACTTCTTGATCATAATGTGAATCACTTCCCTCCCTGACACTCTTCTGCCATGTTGTTCTGCCTCACCTCCAGCCCTGAGGAATGGAGTCAGCCATCTAGGGACTGAGACCTCTGAAACCATAAGCCCCCACATAAACTATTCCTCCACTAAAATTGTTCTGGTCAGTCTTTTAGTCACAGCAGTGAAAAAGCCTTAGATGATTTGTTACATTCCTTGTTTGGGCACTATTCTGCCCATACAAGTTTAGCATCCCTAGAGCTAATGTAACTGGCTCTGGCATAATTACAGATGAGGATCCACAGCTAAATGATCTATCTGCTCGGAAGCAGTGACACTGGAATGGCAGCACAGGACTGTGGTGGGAAAGCCTAGCTTTCTCCAGTATACCACAATGGCTCCCAGCTCTTAAAATCACTTCCTGAACACGTGCCACTTCACAGGTGTATGAAGACCCGCAAGAGTAGTCACTGTCCCAAGGGTAATAAGACAAAAAAGATCAGGCTCTGGGGGAAGACGACCTCTCCATAGGTATGGAGGAGGTCCTGCCCAGGATGGGCACAGGCAGAGAGCCCTCCAGCCCTCCTGATGGGAATCTTGAATTTGGTTTAGCATGGTGTTGTAGAGTTGCATTTCTTGTTTGTTTGTTTCTGCTTTGGTTTCCACCCACTGTCTTAACACAAATCCCAAGGACTTAAAAAACAGAGATTACGTTTGTTTTTATTTTATTTCTTTTTATACCTGATAGTAAACTTAGTTATTTTAGTGAAAATTATAAATACTGAACATAGGCTAAATTGAAGTACCCAGAAAGATTATATTCTGACACCAGCAGCAGAGTATTTTTTTTTCCCAAAAAGTTAGCTCGCCCTTCACTTGTCAGGTGGAAGGCAGGAGAGCCCCCAGGCAGAGAACTGTTGGGGGGGGGGGGCACACAGGTCAGCTCCTCTAAATGTAAAGCACTATGGACCACTGCTTCTTTTATAAAATAGAAAAATGATACCACCATACTATTTTAGTAAACTATATTAATTGTTTTTTAAAAGTAATCTTCTAAACTCTATTTTCACCAAAAATGTGCATTCTGACCATTTTATAAATCATAACTTAGCACAAGGATGGTGATATATTAAAGGAAGTGGATTGAGTTACAATGAGAAAAAAAATACTGAATTCAACATCTGCCATCAGTTCTTTACAAAGCTAAACTACGTTAGAGTTATATTCTAACCTAAGAAAACCCAGATAGTCACAATCACAAAAATATGACTCATTAACAGGAGAGCAGTACACAGCCTTATCCCACATTAGCAGCTTACCAGATTCACCACCACCCTCTGCTCTATATGAAGCATGGAGCAGCCTGGATTCAGCACCATAGGCTGATAAACAAGGTAATGTGATCCCACCAAGCGAAGCACAAACTTACCAAGAACCAGTTGGTAAACCTGTTTATGCCAGGTGTGCTTAATTTTGTAGCTATGCAACTGAATATTGCATTAGCTAATGAAATGAGAGTGAAAGAGTAATTGTAGGAAATCTAAATAGAATGTTTTGAGAAAGCTTGGTAAAGTTAAAAAATAAATAAATCGCTAAAAAGCTTACTGTCAAAGTTAGTTGTGACAAGTTAAAATAAAAGGGAAATAATTATTAAGAATCTAGGATTCTGCTCCTGTAGACTGTAGTCTCAGGTGGCGGCCAAGACCGCAGCTGAGGGTTGGCCGCCACTATTGCCTCCACTACCACCACAAGGGATCAGGAGCCACGGCAAGATGTAGGTGTTTGGTTACAGATCCCTGATCTGAAATGGGGACAACCCCTATGGGGACAAGCTGGTCGGATACATCACAAACTATACCAGTCGCTTCTGGCAGGGTAGCACCGACCACTGCGGGGTCCCGGCAAGCCATGACTCTTGTTGAAGATCTCGGGGGTTGTGTATGGGATGTTGCTTACACACTGCCAGTAGGAAAAGAAGAAGAAATAAAAGCATACCTTATTTCGGAGAAAAAAAGCCAAAGAAACGTAACAGTCATTTTTTATCCAAAAGATCCCACAACAAAACCATTCCTAATTATCTTGATCCTGCCCCCCTGGAAGACACTGCTGAACAGATTTTTAATGCAGCTGGGCCAAGTGGAAGAAATACAGAGTATCTTTGTGAGCTTGCAAATTCTATTTGAAGACTTATACCAGAAGATGCACATGAGCATCTTTTCTCCTTGGAAAAATTAGTAAAGGAACATTTAGAAGAAAAACAGAACCTCGGTTGCATAAAAAGATCTAATCATTAACTTATTCAAATAGAACATTTAATTTTCAAAGAATAAGTTCAGCACACAATGGCAATATTTTGGTTACTTGAAGATCTTATTGTTTTTAATGTTATAGCCAGGATATCATCTAAATGCATAATTTAATTGCAAGTATCTTGAAACATATATTAGGAAGACTGAAATACAGAGAAAGAAAAATTCAAGTTTTAATAATATAATGATTTCCTAACTATATGATATTGAACACTTGGTTATCACAAGTGAGTTCTTTAGAAATATACAAAGTACTCGCTTCAGCAGTACATACACTAAAATTGGAACAATACAGAGAAGATTAGCATGGCCCCTGCAAAAGAATAACAGGCAAATTTGTGAAGCATTCCATATTTTTAAAGAAGCAAAATATAGAAAAATACAAAGACTTGGTTTGGTTCTTGTTTGTATCAGAGTAAAAATAATCTTGTTTCATTTCATAATACTGATTTGAGGTTATAGAGAATTAAGCCAAAAATCTAATATATTATAAGATTAAAAAAAAAACCACTAGGATTCTATACTCACAATGATTAAAAAAAAAAAAACTAGGATTCTATACCCACAATGATTTGAAACTCTTCCAATTCTTTCTTTAAAAGAAACTAAAAATGGGAAGAGTAGGCAAGGCACTGAGTACGGATTCCAGAGACAGATTCCTTTATTCGAAGACATGGCTTTCTACCTAAGGACTGGTGGACTAATGCATGTTTATGTATTTGTATTTCCTCTTCCATCTTCCTTTTCACCAACTCTGCAACCCACCACAGGTGCCATCTGGAGGAGAGTGGCCAGGCCCATTGTCCACTTACAACATAATAAACACACATAATCCGGCTCCTCCAACTCGCCACAACTCCCTCCGTTGGCACCACCAAGCCACAGGGAAGAAGTTGTAAGAGGGTCTTGTCCCCTGAGGATTGCTAAATGCAAGTCCCTATTTTTGGAAATATGTATTAAAATATTTACCACAAATTGTCTAAACTTTGTTTCAAAATAATGAGGGAAGAGAAAGATACAGGGGTTTAGAGGGAATGGAATGAGCCAGGAGTTGATGGTTGTTGAGGCAGCTAAAGGGTCCAGGAGATTCATGGTACTGCTCTACTTCTGCCTGTCTGAAATTTTTATAAATAGCTAAAATAAAAATACTGAATTATGCCAAACTGTGATAGATGATATCTTAAGAATTCACAGACCGTTCTACCTAAGGACTGGTAGATCAATGCGTGTTTATGTATTTATATTTCCTCTTCAACCTTCCTTTTAAAATACAAACAATATAAAATTCCACTATCATTTTATACTTAAAAAAACAAAACAAACAAACAACTCACTGAAAGGATCCAGGGAAGAAGAATCCTAAGCCAGGACCATCCTAGGCTATTCTCCTAAGCCCATGGGAACGCTGTGACCCAGCTCTCATTATTCCAGCTCTTCTTGGGCTGCTCCACTCAAGGCTGGGAAGCTTCGGAAAATTTATACCTTAGCCAATCCCAAAAAACCAAATGCCGAATGTTTTCTCTGATATAAGGAGGTTGATTCATAGTGGAGTAGGGAGGGGGAGCATGGGAGGAATAGACAAACTCTAGATAGGGCAGAGGGGTGGGAGGGGAGGGAGGGGGCATGGGGGTTAGAAATGTTAGTGGAATGTGATGGACATTTTTATCCAAAGCGCATGTATGAAGACACGAATTGGTGTGAACATACTTTGTATACAACCAGAGATGTGAAAAATCTGTGCTCTATATGTGTAATATGAATTGAAATGCATTCCGCTGTAATAAGAAACTAGCAGGCAGTGGTCCTCCTCAGGAGAGGGATGCCATAGTTCTGACTGATGACAGGTATTTTGACCTCTGCCTGAAGTCTGGCAGTCTGAAACAGCACTCCTGTCTGGTGGACCCTGGGAAACTTAACAGGATGACAACAACACCTAGAGGGGCAAAGGGTCTGATGGCCATGTGCTTACTTTCAGCAAGTCCAGGAGGCAAGATCTGAAATTTTCCATTAGAGAGAATCTTAAATTAAGTAATATAGGTGTGTGTGTGTGTGTGTGTGTGTGTGTGTGTGTGTGTGTGTGTTTGGGGAGGGTCTCCTTAAACTTTTTTTTTTTCAACTGATTTGACTTAAGATTCTCCTAATGTGTAAAAGGTTAATCTATCAATCCCTTTAAAACTCTCTCACTGACTGAATTAAGTGGAGCACAGGATTTTCCCAGGGTGGTTTTAATTAGATACAATCAATTAAATTTTAAGAAGGAAAAACATAAGATCTAAATCCAACATCAAAGTAAACAGAGCATTAACTCCCTGGAGTTAGTTCTGGCAAACTGGGGGAAGGGAGGAAGGGAGGGAAGGAAAGAAGGAGGCAGGCCTGTGGGTGTGGTGGAAACCCTCCAGGGTTCACACTGCTACATCAGTTCCAAGGCTCCCACCACTGCCTACTGGCCAGCCACCTCCCCAAGCCCAGCTTCCTCTCCAGACATGGCACCTGCTCATTCCTTAGGCCCACACCTTCCTTCAGGTCTCTACCTGCCACCTTCCCTTTAGGGATCCTTGGCCACGACTACCCTCCTGCCCACACACCCCACCTTACTGACCCTGTGGTTGGCCACCCACCTGCACTGGAACACAGCTCATGAGCACAGACTTTTGTCTGAGGGCAGAGCTTTTAACATGGCTTTCTTCAGTGCTGTATTTTTAACATTTCAACAGTTTCTGGCCCAAAGCAGATGTTCAACAAATTTACTGAAAGAAAAAAACAGCATGATGATCTACTACCAAGGGGACCCATGAGATTTGCTCTCTGTGAACTCAGTATACGGTTCAGCTCAGCTAAACACATATAGGTATTATAGAGTTTCTAATAATGCCAGTGTATGTTTCAATCTCACTCATACTCTTGTCCTCTAGGCTTCTAAGGACTTGCCTTGTTTTTATCTTGATTTGATGTGTGAGAGTAATTTACCAGAATTAACAAAACACTGAGGCAAGAGCAAAGGGATCAAACACAAACAGCCAGACACCAAGATGTGGGTAACTGAGTTAAATTTCAGGCAAATAAGGAAAAGCAAGAAGAAACATTCTCACCTTTACAAGAGTAACTTGAAATCATAAAAACTGGTTTCACTCCCCAATCTGAGGTGTAACAGATCCTAGTTTATATTTTATTTTTATAATAATATGAAAATCACCACCCAACCATAGCAACTATTCCTTGCTACAAAGCCAGACACTCTGATAAGTCTATCATGTAAAATGTTACTTAATTCTTAAAATAAATTTGGCAGAGATAATACTTTTAAAATGTTACTTCTTCATCCCTAGCTCCTTTATTTTTAATCCCACCTCTCCACCCCAAACCAGCAAAGCCCACAGCCTTGAGAGAAGGGTGTGACGAGGAAGAAGCCACAGTCCTGACTTGGGTTTCCAAAGCCTACGACAGAAAGATCTCTAGGTCCAGAAATACTGAAAAGAAATACTGAGAGAAATACTGCAAAAGAGGCAGAACACAGGCATGTCTTACCCACCCCACCTGTGTCCCAGCCCCCAAAGCCTGGAAAGGCAGTGAGGAAAAGAGAGCATGGCTGATACCGTCTGTATGTATTTTAACCACAGAACTGCAAATACGAAGAGGCTGCAGTCTGTAAGAATGTTGGCTCATCCCTGAAATCTCACCAGCTGGAAATCCCTACTCCAGTGTAAGCTCTGGGGACCACAAACTAGGGACAGTACAGAAAATGTGCCAGGCATTTTAAGGAAACTGCTTACCTGGAGCAGACCCATTTCAACCATGCCAAGACCCTGTCCTGAGCCACAAGGGATACAGAATGAAGTGGGGCACAGAAACACTATTTACCTAGCACACGCTGCTCCCTAGTTCTAAAGTGGCTTAGTGTGATGAGTCCTTGATAAAATTTTAGAGCAGGACCAAGGTGAATGGACAATTCTGTCTTCTCTGAAAAGGAACTTGTATCCTGCAAGGCCAGTCATTATAATGAAGAACACCCAGGAAATATCACAGTCCTCACTCTCTCACCCACCACAGTACAGAAATGATCCTCTCCTAAGTCTGGACTAACGCAGTATGTTTAACTGGAACTTTAATTTTACATGTGATTTTCAAGCTACGGCCTCTACTGATGTAAGTTCATTCTGCTTTCATGTTCCCAAAGGCAGCGAATGGGGGAATAGAGGGTCTAATGTCTAATTGCTGTGCCATCACTGTGCACAGCATGAACTTCTCCTGCCGCAACTGCAACTCCCAAGGGAAGATCTCAAACTTCCCCACCAGACAACAACTCCTTGAAGCAGGAAAATGCACATGCATTTTCATTTTTAATATAAATTTTGGAGAGACCACTGAATGAAAAAACAACCTGCTTTTGGTTTTTAGTAGCAATGTGGCATGCTTAACATGTCCTGTAACTATCCCTTGAAATTCACGTACCTTTCTAATGTTAACCACAGACTGTGAAAATGAAACATATTCCACCTATATGGAATATGATGTTTATAAGTCCAATAATGGAACACGTGTCACCAAGAACTCTGCAATCATCTTCTGTACTTTCTTATTTAGACATGTTAGTTCTCATTGATATTACAGAGTTAAGTTACAGCAAGTGTTTCTCAATCATAAAGCTACTTTCTAGAATACGAACACACACACACACACACACACACACCCCTTTGTGCATATGAGTCCTAGATGGATCAAATTAAGATTTATCTAATTTAGGGAACACACCTATTTTTTCCTCTGACTTTTGACATATTTGTCTTTTTACTTCCTTAAGATTTCTAAATGGGCAAAAAGGAAAGCTGAAGCTGCTGACATTCAAATCACCAAAATTAGGTACAGGTATATACCACACTAGTAAAACAAAAATCTAGAAATCATAAATTATCTGAATTATAAATTAAACAGGATTCACTTATATAGTAATGCCCTGACTTAAAAATCATCCTCATTATATAACCACTTCAGAACCACAATACAAAGCAAATTAATTTGGACTGATTAATGTGACCTACAATGATACCAATAGATAGATAGATAGATAGATAGCAGGCAGGCATGTTTTCTGGCCAACTTAAAAAGCAACAGGGAAGGACTGGGGTTGAAGCTCAGTGATAAGTACCTGCCTAGCATGTGTGAGGGCCTGGGTTCGATCTTCAACACCACATAACAATAAATAAGTAAAATAAAGGTACTGAGTCTACCTACAACTTAAAAAAAAAAAATCAAAAAGCAACAGGACAATGATATCACCCGCCACAGCAACATTACTGCTAAAATGATCTGAGCCTCTAACTATGTTGAAACATTCTGCACACACAGGTTGAGCATCCCTTA